ACCTTATTTTAAGGTATTTTGCTATTAACAACCTGTGGTTATATATGAATAATATATTCAAACAGTTTTAAGTGATATGTTACGGCTTATAGATATGAAATATTATAACTAACCGTATTTAGTATATTAAAATGAATTCTCTGTATTGTCACCTGAGAGAATAGTTAAAAAAGGAACCGTATACATCTTTTGTCACTAATTACATTAAGGGCTTTGAGAAATTGTTGTTTAATTGCTCTAATTTAGGGCTACAATCCTCTTAGCAACTCTGATAAAACTAATTGAAATATAGTGCAAATATACCAAGTTATCTGTTGGTAAACAAGGAGAGCGTTACAGAGAAAGAAACATAGCTATTTGCTGTTATAACCATATTTGCTGATATAACCATATTTATTTCTAGCGTTTTTAAGCAATATATGTAGAATGTTACTGACATATGATAGTTCCCTTTTGATATTGTAGATAACAATAAACATTTTGTCAACTTCTTTCATCAGAGGTTTTTACTAACAGTAAATCAGTAGCGTATGAGTATAACAACCTATCCGGATGTATTAGATTTGGCTCTAGAAAGTTTAAAAAATAATCTACGTAATCATTTGAAACTTTCCCTTCCCATCAAGCTTTTAACAGGAAGTTATTACTTTTGTTTCATTCAGTAAAATGGTATCTAATAACACTTGTTATATTATAAGTAAATATGCATTTAAATCCTATACTCAATGTCAATAATACTGGTACACTCTTTTCAACCACCTAAAATCTATCAGCAATAACCAGGTAGAAAATATCGCGAAGCAAGGTTTAGTAACATTAAACAATGTTTAGTTACACTAAACAGGCGGGCAATATCGTGAAACAATGTTTGATAACATGAAAAAAGAAGGCAATATCGTGAAACAATTTCTAGTAACATTAAAGAGACGAGCAATATCGTGAAACAATGTTGTGTAACATTTAAAAGGCGTGAAATTAAACTGTTTGTTTGATTCTAGTTAAGCACAAAACTACACAATGGGCTATCTGTGCTCTGCCCACCATGGGTATCGAAACCAGATTTCTAGCGTTGTAAGTCCGCAGACACACCGCTGTGCCACTGGGAGGCACATTAAACTCAATGGTAATTTCGCGGAATATATATTAGTAATATAAACCATCCGAAAATTTTGCGAACAAGAACTTATTAACATTAAACGGGTACGCCATGAAAGCATTTGTTTCAGGTAAAAACTTTTTTGAAGATTTTGGTTTTTAAAATAATTTTATTTCTAATCAAAATTTTAATAAAAAAAAGTCGTAATCAAGAAAATTTCTTCTTATAATTATCAACTAAGGTTAAAAACACCCAATCTAGCAAGAAAATAATGCTATATAACTCTTTTTACACTCGAAAAGATTGGTTTGGTTTGTTTTGAATTTCGCGCAAAGCTATAAAAGGGATATCTGCGCTAACCGTCCCTAATCTAGCAGTGAAAAACTAGAAGGAAGGCAACTAGTCATCACCACCCACCGCAAACTCTTGGGCTACACTTTTACCAACGAATAGTGAGATTAACCGTTACTCGAAATGAATCTGAGTTATAATCATACGAGGGGTCTGGCATGGCCTGGTGGTTAGGGAACTCGACTCGCAACCTGCGGGTCATGAGTTCGAATCCAGTCACTGAAACATCCTCGCCCTTTCAGCCGTGGAGGCGCTATAATGTTTATCACTGCTAAATTAGGGACAGCGAGCGCAGATAACCATCGTGTAGCTTTGCGCGAAATACAAAACAAACCAAACTTAATCATACGAACTACTTTCATACGCGTACTTCTTATAAGAAATTAATGTTCACTAAGAATAAATCTGTGTCCTTAACTTACAACAGTTTTTCTGATACTTCACTCTCTACTTCAGATTATGTTAATCAAAATGTGTTCATGATTCTATGGAGCTCTAACTAAATTCCTAAGTGATTTTATTTGTCTACAACAATTCAAAGAAGTACCACAACGATTAAAACCGTCTCCAAATTATCTGTTTGTTTAGGAATCGTACAGTCTTTCATTTTAGCCACCTGAGTGAAAGAGAGAGAGAAGCCATTAATGCGTGTAGGTGAGCTTATGTGGGTGGATTTATTTCGCTTATCTTAAAAACATACACATCACCTTTATTAAGAAAACAACAGGCGATTACCCCAAGAAATACATAGGCGGACATATCACAAAACGTCACGTTGCGAAATTATATGGAACAAACAAATATCGAATATCTTTTGATTTGGAACAAGTATTGTATTACAGAAAGGATGTACGCGAGTTCATTCTAACGGTAAATTGAAAATTCATGTTCCTTCCGAAACTGATTAGCTTGGCTCGTTATTTTAGATAGCTAAGTATGCAGCCGATGATTTATATTGGCACCCAATACCCACCATTCTAGATAATAACCTAGGGTGTGAATGAGAATTAGGATGGATTTCTCTCTTGCTAATTGCCTTCAGCGAGTAGTTTTATGTAAGCGAAATTGATTTCACTCGTTATTTATCTTACTTGCCGTTATATGTTCGTGGAATGAAATTTACGTCCGTCTAATGAGCCAAATACGCATATGTGGATAGGAAAAAAATACATTCGAGTAATCATTTATTACAATTAGGTACGTATGCATGCAGTTAAATTTACGTCTTTATAGCTATTGACTCTATTAAGTAGATATGTGTACATAATTAAAAGGTACGTATTCGTAATTATTGACTCAATTTAGTAGGTATGTATGTGTACATGAAACAAAATTTACGTCTTCCTAACTATTGACTCAAGTAAGTAGATATGCGTACACGTAATGAAATCTACGTCTTCCTAGTCATTGATTCAATTAATTAGATATGTGTACATAAATAAAAGGTATGTATTCGTAATTATTGACTCAGTTAAATAGGTATGTATGTGTGTGTATGTGAAATATAATTTACCTTTTCCTAACTATTGACTCAATTAAATAAATATGCGTACACGAAATGAAATCTACGTCTTCCTAGTTATTGACTCAATTAATTAGATATGTGTATATAAATAAAAGGTATGTATTCGTAATTATTGACTCAGTTAAATAGGTATGTATGTATGTGTATGTGAAATATAATTTACCTTTTCCTAACTATTGACTCAATTAAATAAATATGCGTACACGAAATGAAATCTACGTCTTCCTAGTCATTGACTCGATTAAGTAGATATGCATACAGGAAATGAAAGGTGTATCTTCCTAAATACTGATCAGTTAACTAAGTATGAAATGAAAGGTGCATCTTCTAACTAATGACAGAATTAATTAGGTACGTATACATAAAGTGAAATATACGTCTTCCTGCTATTGACTTAATCACTTAGGTATGTGTGTAAACAAGATCAATTGTATGTCTCCTTAAATATTATCTCAGTTAACTACTAAAATATTTGACTTGTAATCAAATTATATCAACATAGATATTATCTCAAGCAGACGTGTGTACCAAGGAAAACGAGTTGTTTGTTAGGCTTCCACTTCTACCTTTCAATCCGATGTCTCGTCGAACTTATTTTATCTATGTAATAAGTATTTCTAAGATGAAAGCTTCAAATTAGTATCCATATATAAAATGTCTTTTATATTGTATTTTGGACAAACCTACGAAAGCTCACCAATTGTAATATTAGACCATTTATAATGTTCAGTAGCAGGCTTATAATCATACATTTATCACATGTTCTGCAAATCGAACTTTTATGAATTCGTTCTGCCGTATATGTATGGATATATAACAAATAGTGCTGTTTAGAAAGGTGCGTTTTTCCTATATACACTTCTTATGCGCCAAAGAAAGACTTCCCAGGGGGTAACCTTTTCTTCTTCTTTTTTTTTTTGTTCACCACCCGAGCAAATTCGGGAAGAAAAAAAAAGCAAGTTTAGTAAGCAATCAGTCGTTTCTTTTTGTTGCCCCTGTGGTCCAGTTTAACAAGATAAACTGTTCTGTAAACACTGCACATGAACGTACGTTTTCTTCTCTTAGGCAAATCACGTTATTGTCATCCGTGGTTTATTGATAACTTTGTTCGACCTATGAACCTTTGATAATCAAGCTCAAAACATTTTCTTTTAGAATATAAAGCTTGAGTGGACATCATATTTCAGACATAAGTTTCTGAACTCAACATAAAGTCTTGCTAAAGAAAAATGAGGATAAAGAATTACTTTCTACAGAGGGCTCTGATGTAGTTCCAAGGAACCATTATAAAGAGAATGCAGTGATAGTCAGATCATTGTATGTGTTCATGTGATCTGTTTACTCAATTACGTCTATTTGTTCTAAACTCTTGGGGACGAGAAGAAAACAACTTGAAGGTGTTGCTAACGTCACAAGTACACAACTGAATAATTCATGCACTGTTTCACATGCGACTTGTAAAACTTCTGCTTCGTCCCTTTAATATATAGACATCTTAGAAGGGGACGTTAAACATTCAGAATATACAGGCTATTACTTTCAATAAGCTACAAGCCCACACACCTGATAGATAGTGTTTCGACCGGATGGTATTGGAGTAGGTCACTTTCTAAGTATACTTATACATCACGTGCTAAACTTTAAAAAAAAACATTAAATAACGTGAAAGGCCTCAAAATCCGACGTGAAACTGATGATCTAATTACAGTTGTGTGTGTTAGACTGTTATAAAAAAAGTATATTTAGTTGTTAAACACAAGTCATAAGAATATGCTGTTATGTTGATTTTAACCGTAAGACCATTCAGCACATAAAAATATTAACTTTTCATTTTCCTCTAATTGTTCATGACCCATAAATATGAAATGTTTTTCTGGTAATTTGACTTTGCGTACATGTGCTATCATAAGTACAAACAAGTAAATAATAAGCACAAGCATTGGTTGCAATAGAAAACTCATAGATTACTTAAGGGATACAAAAATGTGAAAATATATGAAATAAATGATGTCTTTAAGAGGTACTTACGCAATGAGTTGTAACGTCTGATAATGTTATCCAAGAAGGTATTCTGTGGAGCAACTAGGCCTCTCCTACCCCCAGGCATGGTTCATTCGATAGAGGAAGAGTTAATATTTTTGAAAGGGGCTCATCTAGATAAAACTCTAGGAGGTAGACATACTGCGCCACCTAGGATGTTACAGTTGCAGATGGTAGATCTGCACAGATTTTCCTGCATCCTTCCAAATATCCTTCTGAGATCTTGCGATTAACGAATCACTTTATAATCAACTCTAGCATCTGTATATGAAAAAGTAATGTACTTGGTTATTGTATATTAGAGTAGCGTCATTTGACGTATAGGTAACTAAGAGTCTAACTTAATGTACTGATGATTTGTTCCACAGTAATAAAAAACTATGATGCGTGAACTACTGGTTTGCTAAGTTCATATCCACAGCAGAGCACAATTCTAAAAATATTATTTGTGTCTTCAAATAAATTATTGTGCTTCCTGCTTGCGCCCGAATGGATATATTGATTCTCGGAAGCTTCCACGAGGCTGCGGGCGAACATGCGGGAATAAAACCAGCGGGAGACAGTGCACACTTTGTTGAGCTCCAACTTGGTCAGCGCGTGGATAATGCTGTACATCGCCGAGTCTACGCATGTCGGCAGCGATGGTTGGTGCTCTAAAATTAATGCGCATGCTTGTAATTATGGTAACTGTAGTTTGTGATAGCATAGTACGTCGCGTTTAGTCCCAGACGAATAAATATACATTACAGTATAAATGTCATAAAGGCCATTTTAACACAGCTAATTCAATTGAATCTTAGATTTATTTTCATTAGTATGAATAATAATATATTTCAAAATGTCATAAGTGAAATTTTATGTGTTATTTGACAGCCTTTGAAATAGACGTATACTCATGTAAATACAGCTATAACTCTACTTCTTCGTAAACCTCTGTCAAAACGGAGTGGAATTTAAAGTACTGATGATGGTGTGTGGATGAAATATATTGTATTCAATTTAATCAAAATGTTGTTGTTTGTAGTTAAGCACAAAGCTACACAAAGTGCTCTGCCCACCGCTGGTATCGAAACCCGGTTTCTAGCGGTATAAGTCCGGAGACATGCCGCTGAGCCACTGGGGGGTGGTGGCTTTAATAAAAATGTTGTTGTTTGTAGTTAAACACAAAGCTACACAAAGTGCTCTGCCCACCACTGGTATCGAAACCCGGTTTCTAGCGGTATAAGTCCGCAGACATACCGCTGAGCCACTGGAGGGGTGGTTTTAATCAAAATATGGTAATTAGTTTAGCAATAAAAATATTCATTTCAAATATGTAACAACATTTGAATTCATCGAAACTTTTACAGTAAGCATCAAATCATAACTACAAAATATAAAATAAAACCGTGTTGTCATAGTTTTTAGAGATTATGACAAACAAAAAAACGGTTTCAATCCATTGCAAGCTCATTTCACTCAAGTTGAGTCTTTCAGAAGTTATGTTACGATAAAACGGTTTCAATCCATTTTAAGCTCTTCTCACTCAAATTGAGTCTCTTAGAGGTTATGACAAAGAAAAACGGTTCAGTCTATTGTCAACTCATTTTACTCAAGTTGAGTTTCTTGGAGGTTACAATAAAGAATAACGATTTCAATCCATTGTCAGCTCATTTTACTCAAGTTTAGTCTTTTTATAAGTTATGATAAAGTAAAATGATTTCAGCAAACTCATTGTATCCAAGTTTAATGGTTACATGCTAAGTAAGAGTTATTTACAAAACATCTTACTTACGTAGCACGGTAGTGTTGTTTTGTTGTTGTTTTTTATCTATACATTTGATAACTTTGTTTCAATACTGTTGATACTGTGACTTGATGGTCAGTTGCAAGCTCAAGGTGAATAGCAACACAGAATCTGTTAAAATAACGTTGAAATTACGGTAATCTTAAGGCAACTCAAAATTGCATTTCTGTAAGTTATTAACATCTAGAACGTAATTCTACCCTTTATTAACCATTTTTACTCAATAATTGTTCAGGTAATAACTTGTAATTGCGGTGCTTGTTCTCAGGGTCACCTGTTTGATAAACATACAACTTATGCCTAACGAATTTAACCGATCTTGCACGTAATCGCATATACTGTTGCACTATAGCCGCTATCCCTATTTTTGAGCCACTGACCAAAGGAGAAGGCAGTTAATCAGTAGCTCCCTATCACATGCCGTCCACGCTAAGGGATTAACGTGACTCTTATAACGCATCCGCAGCTTAAATTGCGAGGGAATATTTTGTGGAATTGTGCAGATTCTAATCCGGCTCGCCAACACCGATATCCACAGGCCCAACACGCTCCTTTAAGTTGTATGATATGCTTACTGTTATATCTTTGTTTAAGTCTGACATTTCAAACATAACCTCTGGCACACTTTATGCTTAGAATCGTAAGCGTGTCATTATTGTTATTATTATTTGTTAGAATCGTAACAAATAAATATATTAATGACACGCTTGAGAAATAAAACATCACTGACATATAAAGACATGATATACATTATCCATTCGAAAAACAAGCATAATATTTAGAGTTTATAAGATTGCTGAATGCGTACTATACTTTAACTACTGACAATATCTGTATGAAAAGTTTCCCGACTGTTCTGAATTATTGTATTTCCTTACAATTATTACTTACAATATCGGTAATAAAATTTGTACAGCTAAATGTTACCGTTGTTTCCTAAATGAGTTGCTATACGTGTCAGGTTTATCACTAAATATTGTAACTGTGTTCGCTCTACCGTTGGACTAACTTCTCTAATATACTTTTAACACTTACTAGTTATTTGTTTCAATTATATTAGTGTGTGTGTGTGTGTGATTATTACTGATAAATTACTGGTAAAATGCTCACTCCAAAGTTTTTACTTTAGTCAATATAACGTGAATTCCCAAAATCTTCAACAAGCTTGGTTGGATTCACAATTTAGTGACATTTCTAGTTTTTAAAACTATCTCTTAATGTAACTATTGGGTTTTATGCTTTGAAAATGCATTAGTTATTTCTATTAAAAAAAATTGTGGATGACAAACTATTTTAAAAGTTTTGTTTCACACTTTAACTTTTGAAATTAATATAACAGTTAGAAAAATGTTATTCAGAAAGCCTTTTAATTAGAACAGTTTCACTTTGTAGCCTTTCTTCAATTGCCAACAGTATATACAATAAATTTTAAGTAATCTTTAAAAATTATAATCCAGTATGAGAAGGAAGTTTAAGTTTTTGTTATCTGTGGAATATCAAGTCGACTGGCTATATTTATTTACCATCCAAAGTTACTTTAATGAAAACACATATTCATAGTGTACATTTCCTGTTTTTCAAATGGTCCTCTGTTTCAATGTCACTTTTTGAATTAAAATATAGTTTTATCCATCATATCTTTTCTATTGCTTGATAGGGTATTTCACAAACTTTTCACCGTCTGTTTGATTTTAGGATACTTCTAAGGTATATTATTATTCATTTCTTTTTAGTTTCAAACCCTAACCAATTATAAACGTGTTGTCATGTACGACAGCTCCTTGTAGGAATATAAATCAAAACTGTTGGTAGAAAAATTCTTCATAACAACACATTCATACTACATTTATTGTCGAAAAATAGACATATTTTTCTTTTCCAGCAAAGTGACCGTGTATTGTTTTCTTTAGATAGAGAGTTTCATACATGGAAATAGTCTGAGAAGGAAAAACTTCAATCGTAAGACGGATGGCTTAGAGTTTTGCTCTGGAAAATAGTTTTTGCTTGAATTCTGACAGCCTCGAACCCTGTTGTAATTCATTCATTAGCAGAAGTGTTTTAGATGTCAAAATCTAAATCAATATCAACCACGGAACCAACAGAATATAATACCTGAAATATTTAATATCCAGTGAAAGGTGTCATATAAATTTCAAACATAAAAAAAATATTTAATTTAACTTAAAGAGAAACTGAATACTGAAAGTTAATAAGTGGCAAAAATGTCACAATATAAGTGGAAGATGAAACCAAAAAGTTAATTACGATAAACGCTGAAAGTCAACTAACTCCATAAGCGATAAACCTGTACATAAACTGAAAACAAATCCACAATCTTCTGGAAAAAAGTATAAGGGAAAAATCAAATCCCTTTTTAATTAACTTTCAGATGAGTTATTGTCTTATATCAGAGATTTCAAGCTTGCCAAAACACCACAAGGATAACATATCTCCTCGCCTGTATCGATATATATTTTTATGCCTAGCATGTCAATCTGCGGGCCATGATTTCGAATCCAGTCACCGAACATGCTCGCTCTTTCAGCCGTGAAGACGTTATTATGTAGCGGCCAATCCCACTGTTCGTTGGAAGAGAGTAGCCCAAGAGTTGGCGGTGGGTAATTTTGACTAGCTGATTTCCTTCTAATATATCACTTCTAAATTAGGGACAGCTTGAGCAGATATCCCTCGAGCAACTTTGCGCGAAATTCCAAAGAGAAACGGGCCCAGCATGGCCAGGTGGTTAGGGCACTCGACTCGCAATCTGAGGGTCGAGGGTTCAAATCCCCGTCACACCAAACATGCTCGCCCTTTCAGCCGTGGGGGCGTTATAATGTGACGGTCAATCCCACTATTCGTTGGTAAAAGAGTAGCCCAAGAGTTGGCGGTGGGTGGTGATGACTAGCTGCTTTCCCTCTAGTCTTACACTGCTAAATTAGGGACGGCTAGCGCAGATAGCCCTCGTGTAGCTTTGCGCGAAATTCAAAACAAACAAACAAACCAAAGAGAAACAACAAGTAAACAATATATATTTTAACAGCAGAGACAAATTTCCTCGTAATGTGTACACAATTTACTATAAAATATTCGTTTACTATTAAGAACCGTAAATGAAATTCTGAACAGTTAATTTCAGATCTTTCTCACGAATGAAACAACATATTTTTAGCTCTGACTCTATGGTCTTCTGCCCTATTAAGACTAAACGACCAGGTTAGAGACTCAGGCATAGCTAGCTATCCTTAAGTTACGACTTTTGACCAGAAACAAGGCAATCAATC